GTTAGGTGCTACCTTCGCCTCTCTGATAATCCTAGGTTTGATATTTTCCGAAGTGACAAAATTATTTTGATGAACAAGAATGTAACATTTTCGTTTTTTTTTAATAGAGCGCGGGAAGCTCTTCGACAATGTTTGCCAGAACCACTAAGGGATGCTACGTTTTCGCAGGTCCTGAAGGATGATATGGTCACCAAGCGTTATTTGGCTCAACTTCTTTATAACCTTTCAGATAACGTAGTTACTACGAACTAAACTCATTTTTTAAGTTTTACCCGTTCCTTTTATATTGGGTTGTATATTTGCTTTTTAATCATGTTTGAATTATTTTTTATTTTAATTTTTTTTTTTTTCGGAAATAATCTTTTTTATATTCAAAATTATTTTTTTTTTAAAAAAAAAAAAAAAAATCTGATTATTTTACATCATAAACTTTTTTTTTTGTAATCTATTTGTTTTGTAATATCTTTAATTTCTCCTTTTGCTTCTTTGTAGCTTGGCTATTGAATAATAATTTTTTTCTTTGCTTTCATAATTAATTCAATATTCCTTCCTACACTTTGGCATCTGGGCCATTTTCATTGTAAAGCCAGTTATAATTAGATCTTGCACATATTTCATATAGATTTATTTTTTCAAATATATATATATAACTTTCTATTGTTTAAAGCATTGTTCGCTTTTTGTAAAGAAAAAAAAAATATTATATATTAAATTTGGATTGATGTAGTTGGGATAAGATAAGAAGAGAGTAGCAAATCAAGTAAATCATGAAAGATTTATTTTAATAATTAATTTAAAATATTTGTATATAATGTTGCTTATATTTACTAATAAACACCTAATAATATTTTATATTAAAAAAAAAAAATTTCCGATTATTTGATTATTTAATTACAAATAAATACAAAGTAACTTCGATTTTCCATAATAATCAACATAGTGCATGATGTGTAAAATGTCATAATGTCCACTATTAGACTGTTTTTGCGGTGATTGGTCAATTCATTGTTGATTTTTCGCGTTTCGGAGTTATTACTACGTCACCCGTTATCTAGAAAAAGCTTTTACTTTTTTTTTTTTTTTTTTTTTTTGTCTAGAAAAAGCTTTTACAAAGAAGTGAAAAAAAAAAAAAAACATTCAACTGATAAACTATTGGATGTTGTAATATAGTTTAAAAGAACTTCAAATAAAACTTATTACTTTTTATCCAGTTAGTTGTTTGCATCTCTTTCACTTTTGAAGTTCAAAAAAAAAAAAAAAAAAAAAAATGTTGCCAAACGCAAACAAGAAGAAACAGGTATAAATAACTCATAACTTTAATTATTGATAAAAGTTCATAATTCATAATACAAAGGACGAACGACAAGGTTTTTACTACTATAATTACTTTAAAAAATGTTATTAGGTGCACCCACGCAAAATTGCTCCAGTGAGAGCTCCAAGTAATACCACCGCGATTCCACATAAAGTTGCACAAGCGCGTAAAAGAACCGCACTGGATGATGTCAGTAATGTCAGTAATGCCAGCGATGTCAACAATGTCAACAATGTGTCAACACAAATAAAACCATCGGGGAGAAATGAGAATATCATACAACCACCAATAAAACCATTGATGGGAAATGAAAATATCATGCAACAGCAAGGAAAACCTTCGTATAGAAATGAAAATATTATACAACCGAAAGTAAAACCATCGATGGGAAATGTAAATATCATGCCACCGCAAGTAAGAACAGCGATGGGAAATGAAAATATCACAAAACCGCAAGTAATGCCATTGATGGGAAATGTAAATATCATGCCACCACAAGCAAGACTAGCGATGGGAAATGAAAATATAGTGCCATCACAACAAGTAAAACCAGCGGTGAGCATGGTAACAAGAAAACGCGCTCTGCTCATGGATCGTACGAATTTCTCATTTAAACCAACTACTGTCACCGAGAAAGCACATGATAACATAAAGCCCATAATAAAAAACGAGAATTCAAATTTAATCTTTCCACCTGTAGAGTTTAATAATATATCTGAATTAGATCGAAAACGTTCCAAGAAACAAAGGATTCAAGAATGGGAAGATTTGGACGCTGATGATCTCTACGATCCTATGACGGTTTCTGAATATGCGGTAGATATTTTTAAATATCTAAAGGAATTGGAGGTAAATTCCAAAATTTTTTTTTGTAATTCTTACAAAAGGATCGATGATAACTCGATTATCATCATGATTCATTTATATATATATAGATCGAAACGATGCCTAAACCTGATTATATGTTATCTCAAACTGAGTTAACTTGGAGAATGCGAGGAATCCTCGTCGATTGGTTGATCGAGGTTCATCATAAGTTTCGTCTACTTCCCGAAACCTTGTTTTTAGCGGTCAATATCATTGATCGATTCCTTTCAGTCCGTGTTGTTTCACTGGTCAAACTCCAATTAGTTGGAATTACTGGGTTGTTTATTGCGGCAAAATATGAGGAAGTTTTGGCTCCATCGGTCAAAAATTTCATTTATATGGCTGATAACGGATATACAGAAGCAGAAATCCTCAAAGCAGAACGATATGTTCTTACAATTATTGATTTCAAATTATGCTATCCGAATCCCATGAACTTTCTTCGAAGAGCTTCCAAAGCTGACGATTTTGACATTCAAGCTCGTACCGTTGCAAAATATCTTATGGAAATTTCACTCGTTGATTATAAGTTTCTGTCATCACCACCTTCAATGATTGCTGCGGTTTCTTTATATCTCGCTAGAAAGATGCTTAACCGTACTGAATGGGTATGTTAAATTGTTATCAAGATATTAACATAACTCTGACCAAATACTAATTATATTATTTTCCTCCTAGCATGCAAATTTGATTCATTATTCGATGTATACTGAGGATGAACTTCGAAATTGCGAGAATTTAATCCTTCAATACTTGATAAAACCTATCAAATATGAGCAATTATTCAAGAAATACGCTACGAAAAGATTTATGAAAGCAAGTATTTTTGTAAAAAATTGGATAGCCAAAAACATAAAAATAAACTAGCTACCATTTCACTGGACATGTCACATGGTATGTAATTTACTATGATGCAGTTCCGATCGTATTATTTTAATGAAAAGTTTCGTCCTATATAGTGGTAAATACCGTAGTAATTAAAACAAACATAATTAACATAATTAAAGATTTTTTTATAGGACTTGTTTATATGTATGGTTAGTTTCAGCTCAATATAACTATTTTGTTTTTTTCAAGTTTGATATGATAAGCGAAAGTAACGACTTGACTTTTTCCTCCTTTTTTTCAAGGTTCCAGTCCGATTTTTTTTTCTTTTTCAATAACTAAATAGTTAGGTAAACCGTTGGTCTAGAATTTTTTTTTTTTAAAAAATACGGAATATGTGGTGAGGTTTTGAGAAAATAAACTTTTTAAATTTTTTCGTTAATTAAATGCTACTATCTTATATCAAAATTTTATTTATTTATATTTCACACGTCCAACCTCCTTTACCGCTATCTGTCTGTGATTTCTTTAACATTGTTTTATTATGTCAATTGTATAACTCGGTCATAATAAAATCAATTTATTCAATGCCTCTTGCATTATGTCTTGAGGTACTATCTCTTGTTCTTTATCAGATTTTGTGTGCTGTGTGGTTTTCTAGAAGGTCTTGGATGTGATTGTCTCTAGCGGAATATAAATATTAATTAAGTTTAGAACGTTAGACATCGTTGGCTGCTTGGATTTATAGAAATTGTATATCAGGAGTTATGAGAATTAATTGATCGTGAATTAAGATCAGAATCTGTTTGTTTGAGCTATTGAGCTCGCATCTTTTGCACCTCTACCTCGATCTTAGAATTTCTTGTCGAGATACAATCTTCATCATTGTTCATAAACGAAAATCATTTCATTTTTTGATAAGTTGTTTATAATGAATCCCTTCGGCTAATGATCGAGGATCCAATAAAAGTTTTATTACTTTCCATTTGAGATGTTATTTGTAATTTTAGATTTTTATTAATGTTTAATGAACTTCCCTATCATACTTCATATGCAGCTAACGTTAATGATGCAACATAATTAATAGTTGTATTTTCTAATTCCGTTAAATAATAAACAACTGCTTTGAAAATTGATTTTTTTTCTTTTTAGTAAAATAAGTAACTTAATTCCTTCTTTACTGCAAAATACCTATATATTTATTTTTAAATATTAATTTTTTAAAATTTAGATTATCAATAATTTTAATATTAAAATATAAAATTCTGCTAAGCATCATTAAAATTAAACTATTTAAATTATTTAAATTATTATTATATCAAAAAAAAAAAATTAAAATATAAATTTTTATCATAAAGTAAACTATTTAAATTATTTTAAATTAATTTATTATTATAAAATTTATAATATTAAAATTTTTATAATTATATGATTTATATTTTTTATAATCAAATCTATTATAATTCTATCTTTTACTAAAAAATATAATATAAACATTTTTGCTTTGTCTCTAATATCTAATCTAATATCAAATTTTAAATATCAAATATCAAAACAATAGATGACCTTTAATTATTAATATGAATATTATTTAGTATATATTAAATTACTAATTTTATTTACTTCTTACATTAATCTTCTAAACAAAAAAAAAATTGTTTATTATAAATATTAGTTTTTATAATTAATTTACATTACCAATTATAAGTTATTAAAATATAATTATTTAAACAAAATATTATAAATTTCTCTATATTCCTATAAAATACTTTTTAAATAATATTTATTTAATTTACTATTGAAGCAATTTAAAATAATTTTTTTATAATAATATGTAAAAAATTTAATATTTAACTTTAATTATAAGTATAAATAAATAAAATAAAAAAATTTAATTTATATATCTTTAAAAATTCTTAAATTTATAAAGGAAAAATTATTTAAGTGTTCATAATTAAAAAGGTCTTATTTAATTGAATTATTAAATACCAAAATGGAAGCACTAACTACTCTTAGAACGAAAATTAATCGTCTTAGTTTTACTTCAAATAAGCAAGATAGTTTGCGTAAATATTTCACTCAAAACGTAGAACAAATAAATGTTGTTATGACTTTTCTTTCTGACTACACAACGGATAATAAGAAGCGGGGTTATTTGAAGTCTTTAATATTCAAGCCTGATATGTTTCAACCTTGCGTATGCTATCATATTCACCAATAATACCAAATACTTACTTATTCTTGTACTTTTCTTTCTTGCTTCTTACCGTCTAAAAAACACATTCATGTTATCATAAAGCAATCCAGTGCTGATAAGTGGGTCATAAAAAATTTGATCAAACGTAAATAAACGTGACCTGACAAAATAATATCGAATATTCTGTTTTTTTAATTTCTTAATCAATAATATTAAATTCTTTTATTAACAGAACAAGACCTTGATATAATTTCTTTGGAGAAAAAATTTGAAAAAATTATCATAAATGAAGTAGGTAGACTTAAACTTGAAGTGAAACGTGATCTTAGGAAAATACGTCATACTATTAAGGCATCACAACATTTAATATATCAACCTTTTTTTGTAAACACTATTAATGATTTATGTTTAGGTACTGTAAATGAAACCGATAAGAGTAAAAATATGAAAACCAATAGAACTCTAATTAACTTTTCATTCGCTATAACTGATAGTAGCGTAAAATCGACAGAAAAGTTTCACAAACTGCCTAATAAAAGCAAAAATACAAATCCCACTGAAGTAGAGATACAAGATTACTTTATAGCTGAATGCAAGGCCCTAGAATATAAATCATCTATAAGAAACAAGCTTGTTATTAGGGATACGCATTCTTCACCATTTTTAAGAACTCAGAAATCAGATTTTATTTTCATTCCAAAAAATTCACGTTTAGATATGTTGAATTGTGTTGCTGTTGGTGAGGTAAAGAAGCGAGACAGTGAAAATTTTAGCAATGCACATATAGGACAAGCAATAACATTTGGCGAAAAAGTACTCCAACTTCAACCACGGCGAAACTTTGTATTTGCAGTGTTGACAGATTGTATTGCAATTAATATCTATAAGGTAATTAGAATGAATACTATTGACAATCCAAATCTGAACACTATATTCAATTACAAATATATAGTATCTCAGTCTTTAGAGCATCCTAAAAGTAGGTGAAAATACCTAGTTACAATGATGAAAAGATCTTCAGAAGAATTGGAATGGATAGAACCAATATTGTCATTTGGTAATGAAAGGATAAATCTGATTCGAGCTATTAGTGTGAGCAGAATGAGTGTTCTATATAAAGAAAAATGCAATGGTGAATCTATGACTGTAAAGATAGCAAAGAAATTAGATTATTTTATTACAGAATTAAGTGTACTGGAGAGACTGGAATCATCTTATATCCTAAAGATCCTTTTTCACAATAATAATACTCTTGTTTATCTGGGTAAGAAGTAACTAAGACATACTATAATAACTAAGAAAGGAGAAAAGTTACCATTGGTTATCACAGACCTAATATTTACAGTTGTAAAATAACTATTTGCTTTGATTGTTGGAAATTAGTAAAGATCACTGATATAAAACCAGAAAAAATATATTTCAGTAAATGGCAGAGATTAAGCCTGAAAACTTGATGAAACATCATTGGAATAACTCATATTTCAAGACTAATAAATATATAGAAGCCTATCTTCTTGCAAGCTCAAAGTCAAAAATATTGCATGAAAAATTTTCTGATCAGTGGGGTATTATATCTTAAAAAATTACATCTAATTCTCTGTTTCCTGAGTAAATGAGCAAAATATTTATCTGCAAAACAAAATAACTTACTACTATCTATAAACCATCTTAATCAATCCACATTAAGATTAAGAGATAAAACAAAAATCATGATTATTTAACCAGTTTAATTGACTGATTCTGAAAAATATTTTAATTACTTTTAACTAAAATATAATTTATTTTTGTGCTATATAATCTGGATGTTCACCTGTAAAATATATCACTTGCAGAATAAAAATCTGATTTGTTTATTCTGGATTAGATCTTCTAATTTTATAATGAAGTATTATTTCAGAAAGATCAATAAAGCGATCTTAGGGATTCTTGATTTCTAAATACTACTATAATTATGGCTTTAAAAATTTCTATGTGATAGTTATCCAACAAGTTTATAGGAATTACAAGAAGAGGCCAGAATCTTTGACAAAACAAGTTTGAAAAATGGTGAGAAATAATGGCACTTCTGGTAATATAAAGTTTTTAAGTATAAAAAATGAAGGATATTATCCTTTAGGATAAATTTAGTATGAGAATATTGCTTTTAGCGAAAAATATTAGATATATGAGAAAAAGTCTAATTATAATAACGATTATCTTTTGCAATATTCATACTTGTTAAGAAATTATTATATCAGTAAGGCTATATAGGGTCTTTGCAATAGAAAGGGAGGAAACTCAAAAAAAAATAAAAAATGAGTTAATAATAAACCTGAACAAATTATAGTATTTGGAACATTTTTGGCTTATAAACTAAAATTTTAATTGTTTTGGAGTTTCCTTCCTTTCTATTGCAAAGGCCCTATATAGTTGTTAGAGATACATATTGGCTTGACATGTTAAAATAGCTATGGAATCCTGAATATTATAGTATTCATAAAAAGTATAATTATACATACTTCATTAGAATTTCAGAATATGAGGCATATAAGATTAAATTATTAGAAATAAAACCTATATGCAATTTGCCATTAAAATACATATATCATATTTACAGAAAGAATATTATCATATATTTTACAGACTTAGATGATAATTGTAAGTTTGTGCGCTAAATTTTTTAGATCAGATCTTGATCCATATCCTGAATATTGTATTAATAAATAATATATTGTCTAGCCACAATGCATATAGGCATATGCAACATAAATTAGCATATTTTTGATTCTCATTAAAGTATATATTGTTAACAGAAAAAATTACAACTTCAAATATCACATGTGATTCGATAATTAATGATGATCTCACATTAAGTGATATCACTATTACGCTAAATAGTAATCAATAATAATTTTTGTTTCATTTGTTTCCTCTGTTTCTTCTGTATTTTTATACAATCTGTTTATTCTGTTTACTCTGTTTCGTCTGTAATTTCTTTAACGTCTATAATTTATTTTATTTCTTTTTATTATTTTTATAATTTATATTATTTTTATTATTTTATTATATTTTATTGAAATATATATTTATATTTAGTTAATTTATAGCGTAGCAAGTAGTTAGCCATAGCAAATTAATTTTATATAAATAAGAATAGCTTTTTGCTTAAGTTGTAAATTAACTCTTTTGCGAGTTTCAAGTTATAAATAAAAAAATTAATTTAAATCCATACAAACTACTTTTCCCTTCAATATTATTCCTTATCTAAGATTATTATGATATCTTACACTAACTTGCTATTGAGTTCGTCATTACGAGTTTGATTAAATATATCTTAAATTCTAAGATATAATAAATTACCAAGTTGATTCAAGTATAACAGATATCTGTAGGACTTAGAGAAAATTCTAAGATCAGAAACTCCAATGTGTAGAATCAACTACCGCAACTGTTTAACTTAAACATTAAGATAAATGAAAATGAATTTGATGACAATATGATATAATAAGTGATATATCACAAATAATCTGTATAAGTGTAACTATCGCTTATATGACAAATTAATTTTTACATAAAAGAAATCGATCTTCAAAAATATTTTGAATTTTTTCCCTTATAACATTTGGCTGAATAGCATTTACTGATATGTATTTTTGCTTCAGAAGGACAGACTCTCTGATACCATCGATTCTGAGCAGAATATATTAAATAATGTTGTTAGGTCTTAGTATTAATTATTAAGCAATCAGACGAGCGAAAAAAATGTTTGTATATGCATTATCCCTAACATATTTGTAAATGTTGAGATCTTTAATACACATTCCACAAGTTTTTTACTAACAAACACAAACTTTGATATAAAGTGTCTCACATATTTCTCCTATCTCTTCCTCAATATAAACTCAGGTTCAAAAAGACATAAATGGAAAATGTAAGACATTTAAAAAAACAGTATGGCAAAAAGGTATTAAAATTTACTATACATTATTTTTACTTTGCCTAACAAGCTTTTCATTAATATTTATTCTATTAAAATATAGAAGAATTTCTTTTAACAAGAGAGCTTCTTAATATCTTTAGAATTTTTATAGCATTGTTTGTATCTCTTAAGTAAGGTGAATGGACAGGTATTCTCAAAAAAAAGTGAAGAATTTTGAAAATGTTCTAGAAAGAGTTTTAGAACAAATCTTCTCAGAAGATGTTAAATGAAAAAAGAAACTTCAAAGTTTTAGTACTGGAAAAAAATTAGCGAAACAGGTAAGAGTAATAAGCTATATTTATATCAAATATATAGATATAATGTATTTTTTTAGATTTTCTAAAAGGCTTATATGCTAGTGAATAAGTTATATCTGTTATGATATTATCACTTTTTACATAGCAGTAGCTAGTTATATGTGTCCAAATATTGGTTATTGAGCATATTGCCAGCATTTTTTGATAGTTTATAAAAATGAAAATCTAATCTGATCTTGCGAATTATTATTTACTTTAATTAATTTAATTAACAAAATATATTAAGTCTAAGCTAAATTATTTATATTTAGGTTATAAGTGCCTTTGAAAATTTATATTCTCTTATAGAAATAATGGCTTTGGTGATTGATATGGAGACTTGATCTGATGATATAAATGCAAATTTGTGTTTTTTAAAATGTAATGTTGGTTAGCTTATAAATGAAAGCACTGATTATGAGAAAACTATGTGGAAAAGAATCAAAATAGAATTAGAATAAATAAATGTTGAAAGCCTTAAGTTCGACTATCCAATATATTCTAAAATTCTTGATATTAGATCTAAACCTTTTATGAAGATGCCTGGATCATTTTGTAATATTTTTAAGAAACCTTTCCAAAAATATAGACTAGATTAGAATGATATCATAATAGATATTTGTAAAGAATTCATCTATAATGAAAAATTGAAGATTAATGTAGATGATGATTTGAGTAATGTTGAATATTAAAAATAATTAGATAACCCTAAGATGCTTCAAATAATGTCTAGACAGATACTAGAAGCATTGTAAATTCTTTATTTTTTCGTAGGAGATGATTAAATTTCTAATAATCAATAATTCTTTACAGGCTTAAAGTCTGGAAATTATCCAAGTACGAAACCTATTCGAAGAAAGAAAAACTAGTTAATGAAAGGTCATACATTTGTGAAGTATTTGTGCCTCTAATAAATATAATGTTGAGCAATTTACCTAGAAATTCAGTTATATAGGATATATGATAAGTTAAAACTAGATATGAATTAACTCAAATTCAGAGTTTTACTTTGTATCACAGTATAATGATTATATTTTTCAATAGGAGTAAAAAAGGGAGTTTGACTAGCATTATACAGAAAGGTTCTCATAAATTTGTGTAAAAGTCTGACTATATGATTATAATATAACTAGAAAAGAGCGTAAAGCTTAAAATTATATATCTAGAAACTGGTAGATCAAACTTCATCCAAGACAAATAACAACGAGATCACAAAAAATTAGTTCAATTTTCTAAAGACTATAAGGAATGTATCGAAGCTTAAAAGAATATTCAATCAATTATCCAAGAGATAGAATTTGAGTATATTTATTATTAACATTACTAGTATATATCAATTATTTCATGTTTTTATCAATCAATAATATTTAACCATTTTATTTTATATAAAATGGCAGGCGATATTATAGAACTTTATGCTATGTGAAAAGAATCAGATATTTATAAGTACTATTTAATAGAGAAAGTAATAATTCTATTGTATATAACTTCTTTAAATGCAGTATACTTGCTTATACATGCGTTAATGACTCTGAGAATAGTTATCGCATGTACAATTTACAAAATATTATATAATTCTGATTAAAGTTAATACTGTAATCAAAAAGTTATAACTCATAAGTTATAATTACTAATTATAACTTTTTAAAAATTTAACTAAAATTGCAATTAATTTAAAGTTACAACTTTTATAATAGTTGCATTTTTTATTATAATTGTAACTTTTATGATAATTGCAACTTTTATTTTAATTAAAACTATTATAATAGTTACAACTTTTAATATAAATAAAGAATACATAATTATATAACATTTTATAAAAAATTTATGCCTTGTGATTTTATTATAGTTTTAAACAATCAAAAAAGTATTATATAATATAATAAAATAAAATAAAAATAAAAATAACAATAAAAAATAAAAAATAAAAATGATAAAAAAAAAAGCCTAAGAAAGGGTCTAGAAAGTATCAGAAAAATTTTTATTATATATAAAAAAAATCTCATATTAATCATCATAGTATACATTATATTTTATAATACAATTAATTTAAAATTTGTATAAAATCAATCTTTAAATCTTACAAAAAAGGTGAGTTAATTATTAGTTTTTTTTTAATACAAATAAAAAGATTTTGGGTAATACTTCTATTCTCCTTCTATAGAAACTTACTTTCTATTCTAAGCCTTAAAAAACCTTTGAATTCTAATAAAAAGATAAGCAGAGGATTATTTTTAAAATAAAAAATAAAAAATATATTAACTAATGCTCACTCTATACCTTCTATAGGAATTTATATTTAATTAAGTATAAAGACTTTTGAATCTTACAAAATGAGATAATTAGTTTTCTTTTTTTTATT